CGACGGCGCTGTTGACCTCAGCGCTGTCAGACTTGGGCTGGCCTCTCCTCTCGTCAGACTCTCGGCATCTGGAAAAAGGTGCCGGGAGTGTGTCTCCTTCTCTACTGGATGTGGCTTGGGTGTCCCCCTGCGGGACATAGGGTATGGATCTCAGAGAGTGATTGAAAGCACTCTCGAGGATGCCTACTCCTGTGTCCTTGAAGGGACCTCCTCCAAGAAGATCACCCTGGCCATCACTGTGGGTCGCATTCAGTATGCCTTGGATGGATTGTGACTAAAGGTCTACCCACTAGTGGCCGGGTTACGCACATCTTGGGGAAAAGAAGTACACTTTTGCCACGCCCCCTACAAAATTACAACTGGCTTGTGAGATCGGACACGCGTTCAGCGTATTTCTCCATGTATGTCATTTGCGATTGCGACGCGGTCGCGACCTCGCGTTCCATTAGTGGGTTGAGTTTGCTCATGTGACCGCGTTTTTGCCTAATCTAGACCCATGGGAAATTCGAGCAGTGTGGCAATGCTCAGTCTGAGCTGTCGGTCAAGGCAAGCCGCATCGGCGTCGAAGACATAAGCCTTCTGAACCGCGAATGCGACAATGTTCCCCCCCAGAACATCTGCCCACCACCGCCTTTATCGACCATCCTGGACGCTCGCCCTCTCCATCTGTACACACCTCGAGGCGACTGCGGACTCCGACCTCAGCTGCACCGGCTAGAGCTGATTCTGACGAACATCCCCAAGACACAGAGCCGAAAAGCGATATGATCCACGAACGAGGCTCTGGGACGGTCGTTCCTTTCCCATTCAGATTCGGGAGATGAAATGGCTCCCTGCTTTTTACCCCCGGCAGGAGCGCATGAGAAACCCCCTCTCCCAACTGCCAAACAAGGTGAAGCCCTAGATGCCCAATCAAGAGACGCGACCACCCCCTTCACCGTTATCGTCTTCGCTGACTCATCGTCCCCCATAACGGCCTAGTAGGCAACACGGCGCAACATCAGGGGGACCTCATTGACACCGACCCCCTTAGATATCACGATATTCTGTTCTATGGCGCGGGAAATGCCCTCTTCGAGTGACACCCAAAAATACACCTCACGATCCGAAAGTTCATCTTGTTTCTAAACACCACTGTCCTGGATGGCGATGACAACACACCGGAATCTACGGAAGCACTTGGCCTCAGTCTTCCGGTATGGCGCAATAAGCCTGACGGGAAGCGCCACTACAACAAACCATACAACAAAAGTCCAAAGGAGAAATGAGGGTGCGGACCACCTAGAAGGGCAAGCTGCTCAAAGCCCAGACCAGGAGGTAATCGATTTGACGATTGAGCCGACCTTCTGAATGACGGGGATACACCCGTTGAAGGTTTGTTACGCCAGACTGGGAGACTCAAGTCGAGGCCATCAATTTGTTCTGGGGTATCATCGTTGCCGTCTAGGACCGAGAGTTAACGAGACGATGAAGTTGCGGATTGTCAGGTGGATTTGGGGGTTTCGTTCAAAGAAAGCGTTTCCAGCACCATAGACCCAAGCACTGCTCTTCAAGGCGATCAAAGAACGTAAATCCAAGAACCCACCGTCGAATAATTCACCCTACTTTACCCTCAGATGTAGCTATAGCAATTCCAAACATATCAACCACGCACACATTGCGTTCACTGTACCTACTAGTAGACATCTAGCTATTAGACAAGACATTTTTCCAAACTTGCTTCAACGCGCTACTTGATCCGCACTACACCTTTCGTATTTATGTCAGAATCCTCATTGAAGCACTTTGGGGTATCATTTTACTAAGTAACTATGCTCCCGACGAAAGTCGGAGCTTGAGACATAAAGTTCATAGCTGAAACCTTGAGATTACATATGTTATATAGTACACTGTGACCCATGCTTCATTATCCCAAAAACTAAAGCAGACATAATAAATATCTCCCGGGTCACTGCTGGCTGAAGCCCGGAATCACCGACGAGCCAGTAATGCTGTAAAAATTAACATAGCAGCCATCCCTCCCATCGTGACGAAGGCCATCCGATGTGTATGGTCTTCAAACGAGTACGACGCGAAACCGCCGTGGGTCGCCGTGGCACCATGGAGCGAGAAAAACGTGATACCCGTGATGAAGGCTGCGATGGCCCACGCCAAAAAGACGAGTGGAAGTGACATCATGACACTCTTCCTCTGCGTGGTCAACCAGAGCATGAGACATAGCTCACTTTTCCATTGGAGAACAAGAGCATGACTTACCGACAACAACATCAGTCCCTCGCCACCAACATAGACCACGGAGCGCCCCATGTCTGCCTTGTATCGGAACAGCGCAATTACTGACGTAACCATGCTGGCAGCCGAGAACACGACCGCAAGCAGGCCAGCCAGCCGGGAAATCTCGTCCACGCCAGGAAGAGAGATGAACGTGACCGAGGCGCTCAAAATGATGGCGGCCTTGCAGCGTCGTGAGCACCGTCGACACGTTGGCGCCTGATAAATGCAGAACTACTCACAACCAAACAAGCACATCCGCCGATCATGAGCATTGGCCCTGCAGTGCGGATGCCGCTCTCTTCATCAAGCCGCTGTGGCCGCGAGCGCTCCAAGAACAGGTACGGGATGCCCAGGCAGAGACACGCAATTAGGAAGTCGAAGACGACTCTGAAGAATGGCGTGCGACGCGCGGGCTTGCGAGCCAGGATCGCATCCTTGGGCAGAGGCTTGTTCGGGCGGTAGTAGTGTTGTCTCCATTGGGCTGGAACCAGGCTCAGGCGCGGCAAGTGGAGGTCAAACAGCACGCGTACCAACTCGCAGCAAGACCCGAGCCACAACCCGCGTCTCCACTGCATTAGCACCTGAACTTCCGTCATAAGAGCGAAGCAGTGCCATGAGCTCTTGACATTCTCGGGTGGCGAAGGGTGGAGGAGAATATTGGGTTTGTGACACCGGCAATAAGCAGTCTGAATTCGCCTGTTAAAATATGTGGCTGATTCAAGAATACGATCAGCAAACCTGTGTATGACCACGAAAGTGCCTTCAAGGCTTCTGCGCGACTCTCAGTCATCAGCGGTGTATGTGCGGGATGAGCCTCCATGAATGCCCAATAACGGTATTCCATGTCTAACCCTACGGAAACGTCATTGTAGGGATCAGTAAAACATTACCCCGAACGGGACACACTCACGGTCATCGTCTGCAGTGTCGTCCACCAAACTATCATCGTCGAGTGTCGGAGGGAGGTCAAGCGATAAGATGTGTGCTTTATGGTTGATCCAACTCCTCGTCAATTTAAATCCACGTTTCCCTTTCGGTGTTTCTCTGAGCCACAGCTCCCATCCCTGTGCTTGCGCCGAAAGGCCCTCGGGCAGCTTCTTGAGGTGCTCCGTGACAACAGCCAGCTTCTTTGCGTTCCGCAGGTCGATGTCAGTTACGACGCGCATACTGGCATGCGAATAGTAGAAGGTGCTATCAGGCAGGACGTGCTCTGTCCAACCCGATCGTTCTATTGCATGAGAAGCCGCGGGCTCATCTAGAGTCTGGGATACGGGGAACGGAATGGTGACTGTCGCGGAGATGTCCTCACTAGCAGCATATTTTCCGTTCTCGGTTATGCCGCCATTCGCGGATCGCGCGAGCAAGGGTAATCTCTCACTATTTCGCGATTAGCATATTAACTCTTTCAGTATCCAAAAGTCCGCTCACTCAGTTTCACGTGGGATCTCTCTCTGGTCAATAGTTGCTGACCTCTCATCGAGACTGTATCCTGAAGGTGCACCACGGGCAGTCCTACAGTAGTGTCAGCGATTATTCCCTGACATGCAAGAGCCGTTGCATACCTCGAGGCGATCACATCGTTCTGAGGGGGGAGCGGGAAGCTCATTGGAGCTCGTTGTTCGGGACTGCAGCACAAGTTTACGAGTCATAAGGCTTATGAGGACCGGAAGGACTTACGCCGAGATATCAACACTCTGAATAGGCGAGAGAGCTCTCCTCGACATCTGCGATTGTGCATGTCCAGGCGGATCAGCAAAAGGGTCCGAATAGGACTCATCGAGCGATATGCTATTTGATGCGAAGATGAACACCAGTGTGTGAAGCAGTGAACACATAGCTCACCGATAATTGCGTCCAGGACTGCGCCCCCGTCGAGCGTCCGCGTCATTAGGATCCATAGATATGTTGATATTCCTTGCAGTACTTGATATCAGAACTCGACCATAAGACGAGGCCAAGGAGGACCCGCTGTCCCTCGTCGACATCCGTCCTCCTCGTGGAATTTGTTGTGCTTCAGGCTGTTGTATAGAAGAGCGGCCACCGAGGGTGCTCGAAGACTGTTTCGGCGATACACTGAGGTCTCTCCGCCATGCAAACGCTTCAGCATCAGTAGCTCGTGAAGCGATGGGCTCGGTAGAGCCATATGAAGCCTCAGCGATCACGTCATGCGGAGGCCCAAAACTCTCGGACGAAGCCTTCTGTAGGGGAGATTTCGACCAATTCGGGGCTATAGCATTTTCATCATTCCACGCAAAGTCGTCGCGAGAAGCAGTCTTGCCCCTAAGTGCTTCTTGACTCGGAGAAGATATAGCTGGTGGTGGAGCTTCCTGAGGAGGTGTAGCCGGTGCAGATGGAGGAGCGGGAGCGGTAGGCACGTTGGGTACAGAGGCTGCACTCTCTGACTTCACTGTACCTTCTGCAGAAGATTGCACTACAGGTTTCGCTTCTGGTGGAGATGTTGGAGCGGGGGCCGGTGCAGCCGGTGCAGGTGGCTCAGAGAAAGAATCAGGCGAGGAAGAGCGTTGTAATGATAGAACCTGCGTCTCGGGGGTTTGCAGTGGTAAAGCCTGAGCTTCAGGACTCGTCGTCATCTGTATTCCGCTGAGGACAGCTGCCGGTACAGGAGCTGGGCTCGATTGGGTAGTGGGATTAGCCGGAGCAACGGTCGTCTGCGACAAGGGCGAGGGACCGTGTGTCATGGGAGCCTCTGTAGCTTCTGCCTCGCGTGCAGGCGACTCGGCAACCGGACTTGGTACCCCGGATTCTGCAGGAGGGGACGTCTGCGCGTCCACCTTGAGAGAATTCTTCGATGACGATGAGCGAAGAGCGTTCGGTCGAGGGAAATTAAGGGTAGAGGCACGCCGTACCGCCGTGCCCATGCGCGACCGAAGTGACCTGCCAGGCGAGGAAGTCCTCCCTTCCGGAGGGGTAGTGGACAAGCCGTCCGATTGCGAACCCGGGGGAGTAGACATGTTTGGGCAGCGTCGAGCGGGTGAGACGATATGATCGCTGAAAAAAGAGGGTAAAGTGAAGGAAGCCGCTGATTGAGAAGAGACATCGCAGTAGGAGGTATATATATTGGAGGTCGCCTGAAGGTTGCATCGAGGTAGACAGCAGACCAACACGCTCCAAGCAATACAGGCAAGAAGCGATATGGGCTCCAGATCACTCTCAAACGACAGCGTATCGGGGCCGGGAGCATGTACTACACGTGGTCAGCAGGAGACAGAGCAGATCTTCGAATCACTTCGTCCGCTGGATCACGAGGATACGCTTCATATCTGCTTGAAAGCTTGTGGACCAGCTCAAAGCTATCATGTCGAGCGATGTCTGAAGTCACACGACATGGTAAACCAGATGTAGCCAACATGGAAACTTACATTTGTTCATGCCCAATCTCCGGCATGTATGTCTCGCACAGCAATCGAGCAACGCGACGGCCACGTTCACAATGTGATGCAGCGGGTCGCAGCCCAGATGTGTCCTTCAGTCATTCGGAAATGAAAGGCGCTACGGCATCTGTCAATGATCATGCTGCTCGCGCTGCCCCAGAGGGCGACGGGCGATATGCAATGCCCATGTGTTGACACTGAGAGGACACCTCGCAGGAGGATAGAACTCGATCTTGGAAGTTGCTGCGTCCGCACACACAGATCAAAGACGATGTTGGCCACCTTTCACCAAGGCTTCAGTACTTCAGTAGTTCGAGGCTGCGGCGGCAGTACATAGTGGGTAGTTGGTAAATAACGTGGAATATTAAGCAGCGGCAGAGAGCTCCAGGACCTAGAGCTGGAAGAGACTTGTTTTCCCACGGTGTCCTTCCACGTATTCCGACTTGTCCTGTGTCCTGCAGAATCACTCGAGTTATTGCTCGGCAGCAGTACTCAGCATCGCGCACACCGGCCACTACTTTCCTAGATCTGACACTAAATTTGTCGTCACTCGTTGTCGACAACCGAGCCGGTAGGTCGACATGTTGTTAGACGTCAATGTGAGTCGACCAAGCATATATACCCGCCATGCGCGATTCATCTCGAGTGCCTTATAGAGAAAGCTCTTTAGTCGGTCAGATCGCGTAAAAGGGGTCGATTTCCACCCAACAGAGCCATGGTTGCTTGCCGGTCTTTACAATGGTACGGTCAACATCTATAACCACGAAACTGGCGCGATCGTGAAGACATTCGAGGTATCCGAGGTTCCCGTACGCTGCGTCAAATTTATTGCCCGAAAGAATTGGTTTGTCGCTGGCTCTGACGATTTTCAACTCCGCGTCTTCAACTACAACACCCACGAAAAGGTTGTAGCTTTTGAGGCGCATCCAGACTATATCAGATGCCTCACGGTACATCCGACGGCAAGCGTGGTGCTCACGGGTAGTGATGATATGACACTCAGGGCGTGGGATTGGGACAAGCAATGGAGGTGTATGCAGGTGCGTGAACGATCCTCTTGAGTCCACTTGACGACTAACGCGCACCAAGACATATGAAGGGCACACGCATTACATCATGAATATCGCCGTGAATCCGAAGGACCCGAACACGTTTGCGTCGTCGTGTTTAGATCGGACCGTCAAGATGTGGTCATTGGGGTCACCCACCCCAAACTTCACTCTAGAGGCCCACGAGAAGGGCGTCAACTACGTTGACTTTTACCCTGGTGCCGACAGGCCATATCTGGTCACGGCAAGCGATGATCGAACCGTTAAGATCTGGGACTATCTCAGTAAGAGCTGCGTGCAAACACTTGAAAGTCACAGCAACAACGTGCTCTTTGTCGCTTTCCACCAGAATCTACCATTAATCATTAGCGGTGGCGAAGATGGGACGGTAAAGCTTTGGAACAGCGGAACATATCGACTGGAGAACACTTTAAGCTATGCACTTGAGCGTGCATGGTGTGTTGCCGTGCACAAAAGCTCCAACGAGGTCGCCGTTGGATACGATGAGGGTGTAGTTGTCGTGAAGGTACGCATGTTTTACTCTTGATAGGCTTCGTTAGGACCTTACTGGGGTTCAGCTTGGGCGCGATGAACCCACATACAGCATGGATCCATCAGGGAAACTCATATATACGCGCAACAACGAAGTCCTATCGGCTAATTTGCAGACAATCCAAGACGAGCTTATCCCTGAAGGTAATCGGATACCGCTTTCGATCAAAGAAATGGGCACGACAGAAATTTATTCGACATCACTGAATCACTCCCCGAACGGTCGTTTCGTCACAGTCGTCGGCGACGGCGAATATATTGTTTACACTGCTCTCGCATGGCGGAACAAAGCGTTCGGTAATGGAAATTCGTTCGCCTGGGCAGGAGACTCAAACACTTACGCGATCTTGGAGGGTAAGATGAAGATTCGTGTATACAAAAACTTCCGAGAGCGCGCCGGCGCCGGTATGAAGGGTGCTGGTTCATGGAGTATCGACGGCCTACACGGTGGGACGCTACTTGCCGCTCGAGGGAGTGGATTTGTACTCTTTTGGGATTGGGAGACGGGTGAAGTTGTTCGCAGGATCGAGGCGGATGCGAAGAATGTTTGTAGCTGCTGCCTTGCTACTTCACGTTCGCTAACGTATGAATCAGGTGTACTGGTCAGGTACCGGGTCGTTGGTTGCGATCACCACAGACGAATCTTTCTATATTCTCCGTTTCGATCGTGGGGCGTACAATGCAAAACTGGAGGAGGGCGCTGAAATCGGCGACGAGGGCGTCGAGGAGGCGTTCGAACTCGTGGCTGAGATTGCAGACAAGTACGTACAAGTCGTGCTTCCTGCCTAAAATACCTAACATTTTCTGAAGCGTGAAGACGGCGAAGTGGATAGGGGACTGCTTCATCTATACGACAGTAGCAAATCGGTTGAATTATTTCGTTGGATTGGAGTCATACACAATTACGCCTTTCGATATGTATGTATTCATTTACATTTCGACGCGTTAGGATCCTTACTGACGGTTCCATAGGCCTCTGTATCTGCTAGGCTATATACCTTCGCACAACCGTGTTTATCTTGCAGACAAGGACATGAATACGTACAGCTACGCGCTGTCGCTCAGCCTCGTGGAGTATCAAACTGCTGTCTTGCGTGGTGACATGGAGGCTGCCGCGGAGATTCTCCCCACAGTGCCCAAAGAGCAACGAAATAAAGTTGCCACATTCTTGGAAGGAAGAGGTGAGTGATGCTGTTTAACAATTATGTGTCGTTTCGGTTCTGATATATTTTTTGCAAGGCCTCAAGGAACTCGCAGTGCAAGTCACCACTGACCCGGATCACAAGTTCGATTTATCTCTACAGTTAGATGATCTGGATGCAGCAGTTGAAATCGCACGGACGGTCCCGGAACTTGAAGCCGAAAGCAAATGGAAAGCAATCGGAGACCGCGCCCTCGCCGTGTGGCGATTTGATTTGGCGCGGGAGAGTTACGAAAAGGCGGGCGACACCAGCGCCCTTATGCTCCTCCTACTATCCATTGGCGACAGAGATGGTCTAGCGAAGCTAGCGGTAACTGCTGGTGAGTTTCTGTCGCACACGATGCATATTTACACGTGATTTCTGACCACATTTCAACCGGGATAGAGCAAAAGGGCCAAAACAACCTCGCGTTTGCCTCCCTCCTTCAGCTCGGCGACGCAAAGCCGTGCGTAGATCTCCTCATCAAAACACACCGAGCGCCAGAAGCCGCCATGCTCGCTCGCACATATGCACCTAGCAAGGTGCCCGAGGCAGTGCAAGCGTGGAAGACGGAACTCAAAGCGAAACCAAAGCTGGCAACAGCCATCGCCCACCCTACCGACAGCCCGGAACTTTTCGAGGAGGGATGGCAAGAGGCCGTAGCGCGGGAAGACGAGGAGCTCGCGCAGTCTCCAGCACACCCATTGGTAAACGGCACGTCAGGTTCGTCGGCATCCGATCTATTTGTAGGGTGTCACGGTGTCTCACGTTGATTGCATGAATAGAAGCCGAGGCAGAAGAGCCTCCAGAGAACTAGCTGACCACGGAGACTGTCTGTAGGCCTCGTGAGATTGCACATTCGATGAGGTTCGGTGGGTACTGAGCTGGGAGACCTTGGCGTGCGGCCGCTATCGCAGAGACGATGTTTATACTGTAGGAATCTATTTATTGGCTGCATTCTCAAATCGTTTATTATGCCCACCGAGCACCGGGAAGCTCGTTCGCTAGCCTTCAGAAGAGCGAGGCCAAGCGAACTCTGTCGAAGAATATTGCTTGGTTTCATACCTTTCTTTATCTTGTAATAAGTGTGTCGAGAAGCCTGCAAGATAGGCGTTTGAACTTAGATTTGTCGAGGTGGAGGCTTCCAACTTCTAGCGAGGCTCCAGCCACTGTGTCTGGGCGCTTTTATGCGTTACCCTGCGTTACCGTCACATCACAGTGTGCAGGCTTTCTGCCGGAGGCAACACGCCGCTGTAACACCTTCATTTCTCACCACCACCTCGGCCTGCGTGCTCGCTGTGCGGAGCGACAACAACGCTCTCGCTTTTCTTTCCTTCACTCCCGCCATGGCTGCCCAACCCTCGGTGGCGATACAGTCGGGAGAGCTGACTGATCTGGTCTCTTCCTCAACATCGGCGACCGTCTATCCCTCAGACGACACCATTCTCTCGGTTCTTCAAGCACGATTTCGCGCAGACTTGCCCTACGCCCGGATTGGGGCGTCCAACCTCGTTGTCGTCAACCCTTATAAGTCCCTCGCAAATGCTAACGACGCCAGTGCCAAAGAGTATGAGGACCGGTCGTACAAGGACACGAGCTTACCGTTACCGGGCGGCCCACCGCCTCTGTCACCCCATCTCTTCGATCTCGCAGCGAGAGTCTACCTGCTCATGCGGAGGAAAAATGAGTCACAATCAATTGTTTTTCGGTGAGCTCCATATTTCGGGAGATAACTATGCTGGCTGACCAGATGCGTAGGGGAATCACGGCGTCTGGGAAATCCTTCAGTTCGCAGTTAGTGACAAACCAACTCTTACGTCTGTCTTCCCGTTCGAAGAAGGAGGTTCGCCTCGCAGAACAAATCAAAGCAATTACACCGCTTCTCGATTCATTCGGAAACGCAAAGACACTCATTAGCCCCAACGCATCTCGACACGGTCGCTATCTCGAATTGCATTTCAACGATCGCGGACGTATCAACGCGGCTAAAGTCCTCACCTACGGGCTCGACAAGTCGCGTCTGAGTAGGCTCTCATTTGAGGAGAGAAGTTTCCATGTCTTCTACCAGTTCCTCGCTGGCGCGACTCCTGAGGAACAAGATCGTTTCAATTTGGAAGATGCTTCAGAATATGCCTTGCTAGCGTCGTCTGGTTGTTATCGCCTCCCTGCCGGCCCCTTCAGTGACGACGCTATGGCAATGGACGATTTGCGGGCGGCGATGAAAACCCTTGGTTTTAAGCCCAAACATCTATCAGCCATATACAGCATACTCGTGGCGATTTTGCTGCTTAGCAACGTACAGTTCACCGAATCGGATGCGCGCGACGTCTCGGCTTCTATCGCCAACCCACTCGTTCTCGACGAGGTGGCACGCCTACTGGGCGTTTCTCTCGACGACTTAAGCGAGACGCTCACGAATAAAACAAGCTACGTCCGTAAAGAGCTTTACACAGTCATGCTTAACGCCCAGCAAAGTGCCGCGCAGCGGGATTCGCTCATGCGTGACCTATACGCCATTTTATTCGCTTTCGTTGTAGAGACCGCGAACCATCGGATCGCTCCGAATCCCCAAGAGCCACCGCCATCGACGCAAGTTGTCCTCATGGATCAGCCTGGCTTTCAAACCAAGGGCCCTCCTGGTTCGGCGTCTGTTTACTTTGGTGGTCCTGCCCCGCTGTTGTCGCCACACGGTCAAGCTGGTTTCGACGAATTCTGTATCAATTTCGCCGACGAGTTGGTCCATTCATATGTTCTTCGCAATGCTTTCGAGGATACGGTTGGGCTTAACGGGCAGCTTACGGGTGATGGTGTCGCGCTGCCGTCGATCACGGTCATGGATAATGCGGCATGTGTAGAGCTGCTTCGCGGTAGTCAGCTCAGCGAACGTGCTCAACGAAAGCCTGGAGGGGTTTTAGGTGTTATAAACAAAGCATGCTCGTCGTTCAAGTCGGGTAAGAGCGGGGAGAAGAAGGATGAGGAGATGTTGCAGGACCTCGTCGCGAAGTTTGGATCCCATGCATCGTTCATCGCAAGTCCGCCGGCTTCTACGGAATCGCTCGTGTTCGGGGTCAACCACTTCTCCGGTCCATGCTCGTACGACGCCCATTCCTTCATTGAGAGAGACTCCGATATCCTAGATTCCGCGTTCGTGACACTCCTGCGCAATTCGGCCGATCCATTCGTCGTCAAGCTGATGTCCGGCCCCAGTCTTGCGACTGAGAGACACACGAAGGACGAGACCATCATCGTTCAGGCTCAGGTATCTTCTCGCCCGTTGCGCCAACCAACACCCATCTTGTCGAGTGATGGCTCATTGCCGTCTGATGTCGAGGAACATGCTCGCTTGGACGCGTCGAAAGTCTATCCCATAACTACTCAAATCAATTTCAACCTCTCCGAGATCATGGCTAACCTCGACAGGACGCGGCTCTGGACTGTTTCCTGCATTCGTCCAAACGATTCCAGCTCTTCGAACTCATTTGACAAGCGAAGAGTTAAGGCCCAAATTCGAGCGCTCCTCCTTCCTGATCTTGTTGCGCGGAGGAAGTCTGACTTCCTGGTTGACTTTGGCCAATCTGCCTTCTGCGACCGGTATGTGCCTACGATGCGGGGATCTGAGGCGGAGCGGATACGCCAATGCGCGCAGGCAAACGGCTGGCAGGAGGGTGTCGACTATGTTGTCGGGCACCGTTCGATATGGCTCACATACGCTACTTGGAAAATGGTCGAAGACGTACTCCGAGCCACCGAGAAGGATCTTAGGAAGGGATCTAGAGAGGGTGGTGATGATGATGAGAGCGTTCTGCCTGACGACGCGACGGAATATACGCAGCCGGAACCTGCCTTTGCGACCCCTAGCGCGTATTACGGTGCGGGGGGTAGCGACGATAATCTCCTGCTCACTCGGACAGGGACCAATGGGACGCAATACCGCGATCCGAACATGAATGCTAGCTACGGCCAGGGCGGCCTGTCTACCCCTCAACTTCGTGATGCACCAGGATATGGTGATGCAGATGCGGAGGTATGGGATTCTGAATGGGACAAGAAAGCTGATGGCTATGGAGGTCCCCCGACCTTGGACGGCGGCAAGGAAGCTGGCGGCATGATCGTCAAGGAGGCACCCAACGCCGTTGAAGAAGTTCCCACAAGTCGAGCTCGTCGTTATTGGCTGGTGATAGTCTGGACGATGACGTTCTGGATCCCTTCGTTCCTTCTGCACAGCATAGGACGCATGAAGCGGCCAGATGTTCGGCTCGCGTGGCGGGAAAAGGTCACCATTTTTTCACTCATCATTCTTTTCAACGGCATCATTCTTTTTTACATCATCGTTTTTGGACTTCTCCTCTGCCCGGACTACAACAAAGTATGGAATATTGACGAGCTGGCTGATAATACTGGCACCAATGACTTTTATGTTGGCATCCAAGGCGTTGTCTATGATGTTTCCAGCTTCATTCAGGGGGACCACAGCGACATTTCGGCTGAACCCAGCAATGGCGAATCGACTCTGCAGTTGCTTGCGGGCCAAGACTTGACGTACTATTTCCCCCCGCCTCTCACTCTCGCTTGTCCGGGTCTCGTTACTGATGCCAATATCAAAATTGCCGCCCCTCAAAACTTTTCGGACTTGGTACCAACGGCCATGCATACCTCTGGAATTTTGCAGCCGAACACGCAAACTGCGCTCCGTCAGACTGATTGGTACACGGCGACGTTCCTGCCCAAGATCCGTCAGTATACCAAGGGCGCGTTAGTTTACTCGAAGTCGGATATCGCCACTCAGGGTGCTGGCGGTGGTAACGGCGGAGGTCCAAATCCAACAGACACGCAACGGTATGTATCAGTCCCACGTGTACCTACCGCTACTCAAATCTGGTTGCAGTATATGGGCTATATGGGATTCTCAAGTATACGATCTATCTTCATATGTGAACACTCTCGACACTGAGGACGGCGAAGCGCCGTACAATTTCCTCGATTCCAATCTCGTTGCGTTATGGAATCAACAACCTGGTCAAGATATTTCGGGCGAGATTGAGGGTGTATTGGCAACTATGAACGAGACGTATCGCAATGATAACGTCAACTGTATCAAGAACCTGTTCTATTGGGGCGAAGTTGATTTCCGCGACACTCCTCGCTGCCAGGTACAGAATATAATGCTCCTGGTTTTCTCGTGTATCATCATGTCTTCGATGGGCTTGAAATGTGAGTGAGATGATTTCAATCCGTCCGTTCACATTCCTGATCACCGCCCGTGTAGTTTTGGCTGCATTACAGCTGGCGCCGTCAGGCACTCCCGAAATGCTGGACAAGTTCGTCCTATGCCAAGTTCCCTGTTATACGGAAGGCGAGGAATCTCTCCGACGTACTCTCGATTCGCTGGCGGCCCTCGACTATGACGACAAACGGAAGCTAATGTTTATCATCTGCGACGGCAACATCATAGGTACCGGTAACGATCGCACGACGCCTCGTATCGTCCTCGACATTCTTGGTATCGATCCCAAGCTCGATCCGGAGCCGCTGTTATTCAAGTCTGTTGGTGAGGGTTCAAAGGCGCTGAATTACGGGAAAGTATACTCGGGCTTGTACGAGTATCAAGGACATGTTGTTCCGTGCGTCGAATTTGCTCATCTATTGATCGAGTGCTTACGAGATTGCCTTAGGTATATTGTCGTTGTAAAGGTCGGCAAGCCCACTGAACGCACGAAGCCTGGTAACCGTGGAAAACGAGATAGTCAAATCCTGGTCATGCAGTATCTGAATCGGGTCCACTTCGATTCGCCGATGAGCCCGCTGGAGCTGGAAATATATCATCAAATGCGAAACGTCATTGGTATTGACCCCGCGTTCTATGAGTACATTTTCACTGTTGATGCCGATACTGTAAGTCACATAGCTTTAACTTCTACGTGAAAGTTCTCATTTGGTTTACAGGCTGTCACTCCCGGCTCGTTGAACCGATTGGTCGCCGCCGCCGCCGACGATTCTAGTATCATCGGAATATGTGGTGAGACGAAACTGGATAATGAGGAGGGATCGTGGTGGACGATGATCCAGGTACATTCGTCATAGATGCACTCGTTCTTAACTCACTCTCGTTCCAGGTATATGAATACTACATGTCTCATCACATGGCCAAGGCATTCGAGAGTTTGTTTGGATCAGTTTCTTGTCTTCCAGGTTGTTTCTCGATGTATCGCATTCGCACTGCAGACAAGGGTCGCCCTATCATCATTTCAAATCGAGTCATTGAGGAGTATTCGGATCCCAACGTCGACACTCTACACAAGAAGAACTTGTTCTCGCTCGGCGAAGATCGATTCTTGACGACCCTCTTGCTCAAGCACTTCCCTACGTACAGGACCAAGTTTACGCCTACCGCCGTAGCGCGCACAATTGCGCCTGAATCCTGGCGCGTTCTGTTCTCTCAGCGACGTCGGTGGATCAACTCAACAGTGCACAATCTGTGTGAGCTTGCGTTTTTGCCGGAGCTGATGGGTTTCTGCTGCTTCTCGATGCGATTCTTCATCTTCATTGACCTTTTGGGAACCTTGGTATGTGCTATCCATCTTTACATTGAAGCTTGTCTGCTGATCTTGGGTTACAGATTCTGCCTGCCACCGTGGTCTACGTACGTCGAGATTTCGTCCCTATGTATCGCATCTAACGGTGACGCACAGTTGTTCTATCTGATCATCACTGTCGCAACGGGCAAAGCTGCCTTCCCTCTGATCTCAATTATCATGATAGCTGTTGTGTATGGACTTCAGGTATGCTGGCTGATTATATTGCGCCAAACCGGATCTCATATCGCACCAGGCCATCATCTTCTTGATCAAACGAGAATTCATGTTGATTGGATGGATGGTCGTGTACATCCTCTCGTGCGTTCCTCTCCTTTGGAGCTCGTTCGCGGGTTTTTATGACAATTTTTCGGTATAGATATCCGGTGTACAGCTTTTTCCTGCCCATCTATTCATTCTGGTGCATGGATGACTTCAGCTGGGGTAACACTCGCTTAGTCGTTGGCGAAGGCAATAACAAGAAAGTTATCATGAACGACGACGAGAAGTTTGATGACTCTATGATCCCGCTGAAGAAATTTAGTGGTATGTAACTATTCTTTGTCTGTAATCTCGCTCTGACGGTGTCGTTCAGAATATGAGGCTGAAGCATGGGAGACCGGTTCACACCGTTCTGAGGATACTGGTTATGACAGCAAACCACGATCGCAAATTGTCAGGTCTCAAGTTCCTTCGCGATCGCAATCCCCAAGTTTCCATCCTGCATCACAAGCTGGCGACTATTATAGGGACGGCAATCCGCTGGGGCATCAAAGCTCAAACTCAAATCTGCGCGGCAGAGGATCCCAAACAAATCTCTCTCAATATGGAGGACAGCCGATCATGTCGCAGTACAACCTGCCTCACTTACCATTCATGCCTACTGGCGGCCCCGGGTCTGTGATAGGGTCTGACTACGCTCACATGACGATGCCTGGACCGATGGCGTACCAGCAGACGGCGAGCATGTATGGCATGATGCCCAATGCCCCTCGCAACACGATCATGACTAATCTGAACATGTTCGGGGGAGACGGTGAAGCCAGCGGGTCGCAGGCCGGATTTGCGCCGCCGATGATGCAACGGCCAATGTCAACCTTCTCCCTTGCGACATCAGTGAATCCGTTTGCTGGGCCGAGCATGAATCCAGACCCGAGTAACGAGGATCTTGTCAACGCGCTTCGGAATTATCTGAGTACTCAAGACCTCATGGCTGTGACGAAGAAGTAAGTCACTTAACATATGAATCGTTTTCAGTGGTTCTGACAGTTTCGTAGGACGGCTAGGGAAGCGATACAGACCCGATTCCCCAAGGCGGATCTCTCGAGCAGGAAGCAGTTCTTGAACGATTCAATTGACCAGATTCTCTCTCAGTCGTAGATACAGCCGCGGACTCGCATGATTTTTCTCTTGGTTTCCGGTCTTTACGTGACTCATGGACTGACGTTGTGGACTATACTCTCGCGGACATTTCGACGAACTGCCATATTACGATCTCATTGCATGGACTATCTCCTCAATTCTGCATTATCCATCGGTATAGCAATGTAATCATTCTAAATACTCGTTTTCGCGGAACAGTAACATTACAATGCTTAGTAGATGTTTCGTACTAGTTGCTCACGCGTAAATAGCAGGACTTGCTGAGCATTATCTGGTCAAGATTGACAATTCCAGCGCAGTGTTGTTCCGGGCGGCACGTGAAAATATGATCGAGTTCGGCATGCGTGCGCCTCCTGTGCGTACTTGAGCTGAGCCGGAGCAGTGAGAGATTCTTATTCCCCTCCTTCATCCCATCCACCAGTCTTGCTTTTGACGCGATGCCTGCTCCCGCCGCCATCTATATCGTCGGCGCGGTGAGCGTCATCGCTGCTGTCTTTGCTTTCAAGGAGGTATATCCTCATCCTCGCCGTAGGTTATCCGGCTCTGACGATTATCCGACAGTTTGTGTATGAGCCTCATATCGCACCGAGGATCGAGGTTTGGGCGGAATCGTTTGTCGAGCGACGCAGACGACAGAGGCAGCAGCGGCATGGCCCTACCCTCGCCTCGCCCGTAAATGAAGGCGGCAACGAGAATAGGCCTCGAAGATCCGCCAATCCTACTGGCGATCACAGGCCTGCGACCCCATCGGACGATTTATCTGTCGAGCTGAACCAGTTTTCCGTGCATCAGCAGACCGGGAGGAGCGATGGGCAGACATCTGGTGGTCTTCGGCTTAGGCCAACGGCGGCAGTCATGGAGGAGGTATGATACTTGTGCACGCCATCAGGGGGTCTGAGTTGACTTTTTCCTGCATTTTCAGTCCAATCTCTTCATTCCCTTTACGCCAATAACACCGACTCGTGCGCTCTCCGACTCCTCCATATCCTCGTCCCCGCGCTCGCCGACCCACGAACCTCTACCGTCAGGCAGTCCCCCAACCGCAGAACTGCCGCCCCCATATCGCCCCTCAGCCGCAGCCGCTCCATCACCAGAGCGCCCCGGAGCATCGTCCACGAGCTCAACTTACGTATACTCCCCACGGCGGCCCACCCCACTGTCTCCCTCTGCTGTATCAGCGCGTGCCACGACGCCTAGCCTGGCTCATCCTAAATTGACGCACTCCTCTCCGTCCTCCCGCGCTTCATCGCCGGACGTCCCTGCGATGTACAACACCGCACTCATGGGCTCCGGCAGTATCGCGGTTGAGCGCACGCCATTGGGCGACGTGCGTTCTTTCCCAACGTCGCGCATACAGTCACCATTCTCCGACAACTACTCGATCGTGGCACGCAGCCCGACCTTCAGCGCGCGCTCGGACGCACCGTCGTCCGCACTGCACCTCGAGGAGGAGGAATCCGAGCTTGATATGCTGTCGGACATGGATACGGACGAGGACGTGCTGTCGTTGCGGTCGGAAATCTTCAGCCCGGAGCAGGTCGGGCGCCGCGTGCTAACGTCCGATGTGGAATTTTTATATGGGAGCGACACTGAGACGGAGAGCTGGGCGAGCACGGGCCGCCGCACGCCGGAGATGTAGGCGAGCGGTGTCAGATGAACGTCGGTCGGCGTTCTCAGTAATTGTGATTTTTGGTGACATTGTGCTGCGAGGCACTTCATGACACATTTGCGGTCGCCTCGTCTTCTTTTCATTCTGTTGTATGATTCTTGTTCGTTTCCTAGTCTCTTTCGGCATCACCATCCTTGTGGGTTCGCATCTCATCCCCGTTCCCGCTCCCCACTGTTGTACACGAGCATTTAGGCATGCATGTATCATATTGATCGGACGGAGGGTTTGTAATATATTCTTGTGCGTGCAAGAGCGTTTCGTATTTAAAAGAGCGTAAATGCCGTTCGATACCCCGTTCGACTTGAGATCTCCTACTGTGTCTAGAATGATATTCTGGACTTTGGTACATACATCGTACATGAAAATTTCTGGTATTTTTGCTGATTCAGTGCTTAGGTCAACCTCGTTGCTACAGGTGCGGAGGAACCTCCCCGGATCATCCTTTGCATCCGTCTCGGAACCTTCCAAGCTGTGGCTGGACCGGATTCCGTTCTCAGCTTCAGCTAAGGAAGTGGCTGAACTCGCGATTATATTCTCTGGCCATACGACATAGCTCTGTTGCCAAATACCTAGCACCAACGGCGGCTCGCCACTCGTGATGACTACTCCGTCCAACCCGCTGATCCTAATTCCTATAGCCGCGGTAAGCAACACTGCCGCCATATGTAAACGAAGCCAGCTCATCCGCTTACGGTAACAATTTGATTGCAATTCCAAATATGAAGCACTCCTCGCCCTCCCTGGTGTTCTTGTCATATTTCTGGCTGCTGCTCCTTGCGTCCGCCTGCGATGCACTATGGGTGGCTCGCTGACGTCGACACTCTTCTGCGCCTCGCAAACAAATACAACGACGGACAGGGTGAAAGATTCCTCTTTCGATGACATAGATCCGGATCGAGACGACAGCGGAACAGAAGACGAGTCGCAAACGCGGGTGGACCATGCGACGAGGCGCATGCGGTCCTAAGATGTGTCTATATCCAAATGCGTTCCGGGAGCGCCGCGAGGGCTGGACAGAACAACCATAGCTCAATCATGAAGATGTTGACGGTCACATCTGAGGTGAACCTGACGATTCCACCGATGACGACAGAGATGGAGAGTGACATTGAATGAAAGATTTCCAGTTGTGATATTCATGTTCATCAGGTACCACCTCTCGAAGCAGCCTCTATCCACAGCATAGGACATGGAAAAATTTGACGAGGGTACAAATTTTACTGGCGCGGGGTGAGGAGACCAAGCTGAGATGATCTCATGGCACTGGCGGTAAGTAGCATAGGAGGCGTTCCTTATTGACGGTTGGAATATCACAAATTGGTTTTATTCGTGTAGAACTTGTAGTCTTGTGCATTTCTACGCACGTGAATCCCAAACACCTGTATCTCGCCGCGTCGCGTAGAATCCACGATGAGCCTTATCCGCAAACGATTGACAGGACGGGTTCCAGCCGAAAGTGATGCTTGAAAGGCTTGGCACATGTATCCCTCGCCGAGCGACGGACGCCATCGTGTAGTCGCAGATGAGAAAAACGACGCGCAGACATTCGCTTCGATATACTAATTCAATCACTTGGACAAGGTTCGGCTAGCTCTCCTAGTTCGCAGGCGTGGTGGAGGACCTGGGATTTTGTACCGCTGGACGTCGTGAGCATTGAATAGTGGCAGCGGCGTAGTCCTCGGGAACATAATACTTGACACCTGGCCGAGAGCTGTCTGAGATGTGATAGGCACCCTGGGTTTAGAGAAGCAGACAGAGGAAAGGACATGGCATGTCGAAGTCGGCGACAACCGCCGCTCTGCACTGAATCGTAAAATCTGGGGAGTTTGCGGCGTCTGAGCATTTGGACATCTCCATCCAGCCTCGTGAGACATATATTATCGAGCCTGCCGGCCAGAAGACCACATTGTCTTTTGAGGTCCTGCCTGGGAGGCCCAGTCGTAATCCCGGCGAAGAAGCGCATATAGCCACCGCAGGAAAAACGGGTAAACTCACCCATCGAGGGAAGACGGCCGTTGTGGATATTGATCTACATTGCCATCCATGAGCATGTTATATTCGTCTAACTGGTCCAGAGATAGTTTGCACTGAGTAGTGCAGATATGTGTGAATAGCGGATCGTGTGTAACTGCCTCAGAGACTTGCCTGTTGGGTTGAAGAAGCCTTGAGATGAGTTTTGGATTGCATGGCGACTGTCGTCTCTCGCTTCGGTAGCCGAGAGACAGGACATTTTTCTCTGCGATGAGTTCCCAGCCGTTGCTCTTCTTTGTCGTTTCTCCTTATTGGTTCCTGGTGCCCCACAGGTCAGTATATGAAGCCAGCTCATTCCGACCCTCGGCCTTCTCGTCTTTCCCTCTTCCTCTCACCTGCCTTTTTCTTTTCCTCCAGCGATACTCGTCATCTCAAAATCTACCCTGGCCCAGGGCGACTTATCGGTGCGATTTGCGATGTATTAAATCTAGCTTACTTTTTTCTTTCTTTTTCAGCGCACATCAATTGTGTCTTCGCAAGTGCGATCCATGAGCAATCGTCGCGTTGCGCAGGACGTTGAATAATAATGGCGAGCGGAAGAGTTGCTCCAAAGAGGCGCCCACGAGCGACGGATCCGAGCTTTGCGGGCTGACGTAAGCGCGCACGGCTGCGAGGACGACGGCCTCACGCTCTCCACGCAGGGGTCTTCGTCCCTTCCTCCGCACCATCACCTCTGCCTGCCCGACATGCCTCAGGTCTACCGTCGCCATTCAGAGCTCGTCACTCGCCCCCCGCCTGACCCCCGCCGCCGCTCCAGCCTCGCCCCCCAGCCCACCGATGCCGACGATTCCATCGTCCTCTCCGACCTCGTCCGCACCGGCGAGGCCTCTCGTCTTCGTAGACGCGGCGCCATGCGACTCGACCATGCGACCCGACCGGTGTCGTCAGTCGTAGTCAACCCCCCACCTGCTCCCAACCCCCCTCCAGCGAGCACCACTTTCCGCCCTATCACCATCCTCCCACCCCCGCGAGCGCCGACTCCTCCATGGGTACTCGCAGACCCGTCCGGAGACGAAGAGTATACAGGGGGAGAATGGAGAATGTGGAATACAAATATCAGCCCAGAGGAAAGCAGGACGGAGCCCAGCAGTAGCAGCATTACCTTCCAGTTTGATGACGCTCGGAGGACCCCCACCCCGGACGACGAGGAGCAGGGCTTCATGCTGTTTTGTGGAGGCGAGGAGCAACCAAGTTCTGCGCTTTCCGGATCCCCTCGCGCTCCTTATGAGCCGTCGGCGCTGCCCGTCCACCCTTCCACAGCTTCGACATCTACACGTGCAGGTACCTCCCTTACACCACGCAAGACGAACGGATGTGGTGCGGTCGTGCATGTCCGCGCCTTTCCGCAGCACCACCGTGGTGTATGGGTGGCCAAGCGCACGGCGACTGACAACGTGGCTGGCCTCGATTCGTCTTATTTCGATCGTGCCGTCGTCGCGAAGATGGTAAAGAGTGCGTGTGGCTGCATCTACGAGGGCATAGGCTGTGCCGTGTGGTGAGTACTTACTACTCTTCTTTGTGCCGGAGCGTCCGGCATCGTCAGGAGGTCAGGCATGTACTGGTCGTCCGTGCATGTCGAGCGCATCTGGCAAGAGCGTACGCGGACTCATTCGTCTCTCCTCAGCGGAAACACCCTGGGCACACGATATCTACCGTGCCAGGCCGCTTCGGAAAGCATGTTTTCCAGCCACTCCCTCGGATCTACTCCGCAACCCCAAAGGCCTCTCGCCCCATGTGGTCCACGCTATTGGCATTGCCGCAGCGCATCGCGACCATCACCAAGCCCCATCAATGCCGCCTCCATCTCGAGCGAGACGCGCACGTCCCAAACCGGTTTCTACGTTTATACCTTCTTCTCCGACCACGTCTCCCCATCTCCAGCATACGCGTTCCCTGAACACTCGAAGCGTCCCAGTATGCAGGCTGACCCGCGCACGCGGAACAGTGCCAGTCGTCCGGCGTCCCCATACGGCTACGGTTATAGGTGGTCTGCGTCGCCCCAGCCGTACGCACCTCCCGAACTGCTTCCGTTCCCGAGCATGCTCACACCACCTGCGACAACACCCTTCAGTCCAGTTTTCGCGCCACCACCGCCGCTCCCCATGCCGTCGGTACGGCCGCTCCCGCTGCAGCCGCGCTTGCG